ACTACAAATTCTTTTGTTAATTTAATAGGCCCAGACAATTCTTTCTTTCAAAATTTTTTCCGTAACGAAAAGTTAACAAAATAGTTATGTATACTTAGATTAGGATAATAATGTACAAAAGTACAAACGTACAAAATTTAATTGGTGCTACTTTGTGATATCACTTTTTTTGTAAAACGGGTTTTTAGAGAAAGAATGTTTTGTAGTATATAATTGTTGTAAAACAGGTTTTATAGAGAAAGAAGTTTTTGGAGTATAAATAAAAAAATAATTTAATTTATACAATACGTGTTGTGCGTGTATTTGTTGCGCCTGTTTTTACCTTTTTTTGAAAAGGTAAGTTTTTAGAGTATCGCACTTTATATTTTGTTCCTTAGAGTATCACACACTTTATATTTTAAGTTTTTTTTAGTTTTAAAATGACAGTGAAGCCTGTGACATAATATATATACATATATATATATATACAGATACACGCATATTTCTGCAATAACATGCAGCATATGACTCTTATTACCGTCTATATATTTCGAGAAGTGTCTATGTTTGAACAATTTGATACAAGCGGTTTTACACATCATTTATAAAAGTTATTTTTAAAAACTAAAAACTGAAAATTAATAGTCTTCTTTAAATGTTCATTTAAGGACCTATATTTGATATATACATTAATGTTAACAACAAAAAAAGCAAATATGGACTGCACCAAACAATCTACTTTGTGTAATACAAACAAAGAAATTGTTATCTCTGGTATTGCTGGACGATTTCCTAATTCTGATAATATGAAACAACTTCAGGATAATCTTTTTAATGAAATCGATCTTGCATCAAACGATAATCGAAGATGGAATACTGGTAAGATACTTTTTGTTGAGTGTGGGTGTGTGTGTGTGTAAAAGAGAAGAACTGAGTGATTGGTTAATTACTGCATTGGTTAATTCCTTCACATTTCTATTCATTAGCATAAAACGTAAACTTTACACATTTCACGTTCTTATCGAATAGCTGATTGATAGCGGCGTCTACTCTTGCTAAAATGAATTATTGAAAGCCTCGTACGTTTATTGTAAGCCAATAAAAGAATCTTAAATATAAACTTTGTTGAAAACTTAAAACAATCCTAAAATGCGATATATAGCTGCATTAGAAATCGAAAACCGAAAACAAAACATCACATAGAGCTAATAGATTAATCGCAGTTATACAAGTACAAAAATTTCTGAGCTAAAAAAGCGTTGCGAGTTTTCACAGTATATTGTATGAAAAGCTATCTATGAGATATTTGACCCGAAATTTAGCGCGAAGTAAATATATTGATAGAAACTATTTGAATTTTGGCAGTTGAGTTTGACATGCCCTCTAGACTCGGCAAGATCAATAACTTAGAGAAGTTTGACGCACAATACTTCGACATTTCTAGTTTTGAAGCTCAAGTATTAGATCCTATGACTAGAATGTTACTGGAACACACTTACGAAGCAATTATTGATGCTGGAGTTAATCCTGCAGAGTTACATGGAACAAACACTGGAGTATTTATAGGAGCTTGTTATTCTTCGACGTTTAATGCACTAGTGTACGATAAACCTCAGGTAAACAAAAATTGATATAATAAATATTTGATATGATAAATTAAATTACGATAAATATTACTTAAAAATTGATCAATACAATCATAGAGAGAAACATTGAGAACACATATTTCATTGTTTTTTTTACTACTATTTTGTGCGCCATCACTTCTACTTTGATAGAATGTAGGAGCTATATTGGGAACTCTATTTTGATTTGAGTTTATAATATATATATATATATATTCACCTAACTTTTTAATTCTGCCATTAATCTACATCTACAATTTGTGAAAAAAGTGATTTTTGTTTTCCATCTGAATGCATATGTAATTATAACTCAGGCTCGAAATTGTTTGCACCAAATGCCTGATAGACATGCTTGCTGCTTTTTCTTTATTGCTCGTATCACCAATTCTGTCTCACGTTTGATGAAGAGAACGCTAAAACAGAAACGCGTTTACGTCTTGAAACGGTAACCGTAGAAGTGTGTACAAGCGTGTAAAGGAAACCAAAGAGGCGTTATTCGTAAAACTTCGGCTGAAGATGCAAATTATGAGTACCGAATTATAACCACTTATTAGCAAAATCAAAAATTAAAGCCGGCTCACTAGTTTCGCGGCATGTTTGTAGCTCCTGAGTGCAGGAGCTACAAACATGAGGCTTCCGAGTTCGAATCCGCTTATCACCTTAGGATGTTTTCTGAACCGGTTCTTTTCAATCGAGTTAATCAATTGATTGGCAACCTGAATCAAGTCTTCAAAAACTTAATTTGAGTAAAATCTCGAATTAATTTCTCTCTCACAAGGCAATCTTAAGTCATAACACCTAAAGCACGAGCTTGATGACAGATGGGCAAGCGTACTATAACGGCCGTGTATTGCGTGATAGTAGTAGTATACTGTAAAATCTTCACTTGACGGAGAGAAGAGAATAGAAAATAAAAAGAAGTGCTAAAAAAGACTAAAGACAAAGCGAAAAGAAGTGAAGAAGAGAATGTGGCCCGCAATCGCTCGTCCGGTTATAAGCACGTTAAAATAATTACATAAAAATAAAAGTATCAAGAAATGGATATAACACTGTCTCAAACAAAAATAATTCCTATCTACCAAAGTAAATGTAATGGCGCGCAAAAACATAGTAAAATATGTACAGAGTGTTCGACAATTACTTTAACATTTCTCGTAGGCAGGTAGAAGGAGTAAAATTGAGTCGAAGAGTTCTGAACCATTTTTTTTATTATATATAATAAAGGAGTAATTATTGACTAAATCAAGCCAATCAGTGCCGACCTTGAGTGGAACGCACGTTAGGAGCCGCGCGGAGCGCTCACGCACACCAGGCGCGTGGTTCACTAACTTAGACCATATATACTTATAGACACGGCTTCAGACAACTATCTTGAAGCAAAGATAATATTATCTACATGACGTCACATGTGGGCAAAGCAAAGGCGCGTTTATGGACGGCTTCAGATAACTGCCTTCAAGATAAGATAATATCATCTACGAGGCCGTATTTAGCCATTGCTGAAATGCCCACATGTGACGTCACGTAGATGATATTATCTTTGCTTCACCTCGACTCGTGGATTCATATCTACAGGCCGTGTCTATAAGTATATATGGTCTAAGTTCACTAACGTACATTCGGCTAAAAGTCGGCGCTGATTGGCTTGATTTATTCAATAATTACTCTTTTATTATATGTAATAGAAACAAATGGTTCAGAACTTTTCGACTCAATTTTACTTCTTCTACGAGAGCTGTTAAAGTAATTGTTGTTCAACCTGTATATGTATATACAGGATGTCTGACAACGAACGACCAATCCGACGTGTGTAGGTAGATCGCGTACATTTGAACAGAAAAGTTATTTACTATTTTGCAAAATTCGCAATAGTTAGTAAAATATGAATTAATAAATGTGTGCCAACGAACACGCGGTGGGTAATGATCGGACTTTATAGGCGTGCATGATTATCAGCTGTAACAAAAAATGGCTTTTCTCATGCAATGTCTTAGCAACAAAAAGCGGAGAAACAAACAAGCGCGGCGCGATTTAACTTCTTGCAATCGGGCGATATTCGGCGGTATGCAGCGAGCAGCGGCGAGCGAGGAATAGAGCTGATAATCGTGCACGCCTATAGAGTCCGATCATTGTCCCCTGCACGCTCATTAATTCACATTTATTAATTTATATCTCACTACCTATTGCAAATTTTGCACAATGGTAAATAACTTTTCTGTTCAGAATGCCCGATCTACACATCGACTTGTTCGTTCGTTGTCAAACACCTTGTATCTACAAAGTAAAAGTGCTTATTACGAGATACCTTTTTGTAAAGGCTTGTAATTTAGTAAATATGTAATCTTAACTTTTAGTTTTATGTTAAACTTATGAGAAATATATTCAAGTTTTATCACCAAAAGTGAGCAATCAATAATATCTATACTTGTTTTATGTAAATTTTTCTATCAAAAGTGCTGATGTTGATTCAAAAAAAGTTTCTAATATGAGACACAAGAAATTTCTTTCCTATAAGAATCTTAGCAACAACAGAACTATTGTCATTCTTAACATATTGTTCAATAGTATGCTTTAAGACATTAAATTATTTAGATGCTTCTAAATATCTCATTTCTTTCTGCTTCTTCCTGCCTTAAGAGCCTCTAATTGACTGTGAGATCACGATTGCTTCTATCTGAAAATATAATTATATGATAAAAACTTACTAATACATCAAATAAAAAACTTGACAGAATAAAGAACTTGACAGTTCTTAATATAAAGTACTTCATATTAAGAGCGATTGCGTGTCTCATATTAGAGAATATAAAATTGTAGAAAATTGAAGTTTAGGGATAAAGTATGTAATAAATTGACAAAACTACATGATAAATCACTTATAATGCATGTATACATTTGAGTGAATTGAAATGACAGTGAAGCCTATGACATAAAAGTGTTAAATACATATTTTAAATTTGATATTTTTCTTATCTGCGCGTACGCGATAACTTCTTCACAGACACCACGTCACTAGTATGTGGGCACTTATGGCGCATCAAAACAAACCCCCTCCACCTAACTCCCCCACCACTTCTGGCGCCATTGCTCCACCAGGGTGGTTTTTCCCCTCCCTCGGTGGTGATTGGCCAC